TGAGCACCCTGGCAGTAAAGAGGTACTGACCAGATCTAAGATTGGTTCCTGAAAAATAACTAGCTTCCCGACAGTTCCTTCCTCGCTGTGGCCCAGAAGTCCCGGTACTGGCTTCTACTCAAGCCATGTGGGCCTTGTCTGAGAAGAGGGCTCATCACTTTCCCCAGCACTCACTGCAGGCGGCACCAGCTCATGCTTTCTTCCGCAGAGTGCCTTTTTTTCCACCTCAGGGCCTTTGCACATGCTGCTCTCTCTGCATGGGAGGGCCCTTCCCCAGTCTAGAAGGGCCAGTGCTCCATAGTCACTCAGGTCTGGCTCAGAAGTCTCCTCCCCAAAGAGGACTGCTCTTACAACCACCAACTAAGCCTTCCCCATCACTCACTGTCATATTCCTGACCAAAATTTCCTTGTTGACTTACTGTTTTACATGTTGAATCATCTTCCCCCTAGAAGGGAGGTCTGGAACAAGGAGCCTCTGTTATTTTCTACTTGTGTTGTGCTGCTTTGTTGTCCCTGGGACGTAGCATAATACCAGCCTGTTGTAAATGCTTAGCAGATGTTTGTTGAGTGAATGTGTGCCTTAACTGAACATACCATAATCACATAACATCATATGTGGTCCCAAGGATGTATGTTCCCATTCTTGTTTAGGGAGACATTCGTTTTGCTTTAAAATGAGGCAGGTCAGCTGAGCAAAGTGGCTCATGCCTTAACACTAGCTACTTGGGAGGTTGAGATCAATCCAGAGGATGTGGTTTGAGATTAGCCTAGGCAAAAAGTTAGTCAGACCCCATTTAAAAAAAAAAAAAAAAAAGTTGGGCACAATGGCATGCGTCTGTCACCCCAGCAATGTGGGATGTGCAAATAGGAGGCTCAAGGTCCAGCCTGGCCTGGGCACAAATGTCAGAGCATGTCCGAAAAGTAAGTAAAGCAAAAGGGACTCTGGCTTCGGTGGTAGAGTGCCTGCCCAGCAAGCGTGAGGCGGTGAGCTCAGACCCCGGTACCACCGAAAAAGAGAGAGAAAGAAAGGAAAAAGATTAGGCTAGACCTAGAAAATGCTTTCTTTTCCAGTGCTGGAACTTGAACTCAGGGCCTACAACTTGAGCTAGGGCTACAGGTGTGAGCCACTGGCCGGCTAGAAACCGTTTTGCATTATGAGAAACAGTTGTCCTTTTGCTGTCACTTGACCTGAGTGTTAAGTGCCCAGTGTCATCAGAGCGGAGCAGAATGTCAGAAGAACATAAGAAGAAGGTTGGAGTTACATTTTCTGTTCTCAAAGGCTGCTGGCGGTATTAGTGGCTCTTCAAACCCCATGCTGAAACTGTGAAATAAATTAAAAATAAAGTCCTTTACAGAAGACTTAAGTAAGGGCAGAGACACGTACCGTGCTTATGGATTGAAAGAAGAAACAGCATGATCTATAGATTTAAATCCCAACAAGACTTTTTTTTTTTGCATAGGGTCTCGCTGTGTAGCCCACACTTGATGCAAACTCATGATCCTTCTGCCTCAGCCTCCTAAGTGCTGGGATGACAGCTGTGCGTCACCATGCGCAGCTCCCAACAAGACTTTTTTGTTGATACAGACAAACTGATTATATACGGAAAGGCAGAGGACTAGAATAGTCAAAACAGTTTAGGAAAAGAGTTGAGTGAGAGGAATTACATTACTGACTTTAGGACATACCATACAGCTCAAGAAATAAAATGTGTTGGTGGAGAGACAAACACATAGTTCAGTAAAACAGAACAGAACCAGTTAATTTTTTTTTTTTTTTTTTGCGGTACTGGGGCTTGAACTCAGAGCCTTCACTGTGAGCCACTACACCAGCCCTTTTTTTGTGAGGGTATTTTTGAGATAGGGTCTTAAGAACTATTTGCATAGGCTGGCTTCAAACCGTGATCCTCCTGATCTCTGCCTCCTAAGTAGCTAGGATTACAGGTGTGAGCTGCTGGTGCCCAGCATTAGAGCCAGTTAATTTTTAACAAAGGTACAAGGACACATCAATGGACAAAGACTAATGTTTTCAGCAGATGGGGTTGGAACAATTGGACAGCTATACATAGGAAAAGTATTGACCTAGACCTCCTACCTTCAACAGAAATTCATTCCAGTGGATCCCAGATGTAAATAGGTAAAATGTAAAACTATAAAACTTTTAGAAGAAAATAGGTCTTTGTGACCTGGTGCTGGGCAAGGAGTTCTTAAACATGACTCCAAAAGTACAACCATGAAAGGAAACGATTGATAAGATGGACATCATCAAAGCTAAAAACCCAGCTGGGCACTGGTGGCTCATGCCTGTAATCCTAGCTCTTTGGGAAGCTGAGATTGGGAGGATCATGGTTCAAGGCCAGACTGGGCAAATAGTTCATGAGACCCTGTCTCCAAAATAACCAGAGCAAACTAACAACTCTGCTCTGTAGAAGACACTACTAAATGAGTGAAATGACAAGCTGCAGACTTGTCACATACCCAACAAATGGCTTTTATCCAAAATATATAAAGAGCTCTCAGAGCTTAATAGTTAAGAAAACAACCCAATTAAAAAGGGGGAATAAGATATACACACTTGCCCAGAGCTCTGTGGATGGCAAATCAGTGCACGAAAAGACACTCTGCATCATTGGGCACTAAGAAAGTGTAAACGAAAGCCGTGGAGTGGGGCTGGGTGTGCTTAGATGTCTAAGCAGGCAGGTGATACCGGATGGCGGTGAGCATGTGAGCTGCTCAGCTCTCGTGCGTCACTGGGGGCAATGCAGTGGTTCAGCCACAGGTCAGGATGTGGTCGCAATCCCAGTCCTGGGTGTTTACCCTAGAGAAGTGAAAAGTTACGTTCATGCAAAAACCCGTATGTGAATGTTTACAGCAACTAATCCCTCGGTGGATGAATGGATGAGCAGACAGCTGCCTCTGCGCAGGGGAATAGGAGACCAGCTCTGCAACAAAGAGAAACAAACTGGATGCTCACAGGCCACCACCGGGTGGATCTCAAGGGCACACGCTGAGTGAGAGAATCCAGCCTCAAAAGATCGCGCGTGGCGTAATTCCACATGTGCCGTTCATGATAAACAGAAGCATAGAGATGGAGTATCAGGCTCAAGAGCGGGGCCTCCGGAGTGGTGTCAGGAGGGAATATTTGAGGTGGTGGGGCATTCTGCACCCTGAGCGTGGCTGTGGTCACACAGTTCTCTAGTGTATTAGCAGTCAAGACTGCGTACCATTTCCCTACATGTGAACTTAAAAATAAAACAGACCCCCACACCCTGCAGGAATTGCTCCAGGGAGCTAAGTACAGAACTAAAGCACTAAAATAGATAAATTCAGCATAAAAGCAATTAAAATGGAAAAATAGTTCATAAAAAGTGACTCCCTTCAGTACGTAAATAAACACAAGATGAAATTTGCCACAAGAGCTAGCACTGGGCTTTTTACCTCTCTGATTGCTGATGTGGTTTTCATATACCATTTTGAAAGACCATTACCAGTAACTTGTAAGAACTTGCACTCGGTGATCATGTTTGTTTAAATAAAGCTTTCAGTACAAGTTTTAATTGTTCTTGAAACAAACTTTTATTCTCCATATGATTGTAGTTTGCTGTCATTCAGCACTGTGGCCCCAAGAGTGTCCTTGTGAGCAAAGCCTGTGCTCAGGTGGGAGGTGGGCTCTCAGGGAGAGGCAGGGGCCTCACTTCAGAGTCAGCTCTGGAGCTTAGGAAAACACAGATGCTGGGGTGAAGCCTGAGGAGGTTCAGGAAATTCAGGGTTGGTATATTTGGGCCAGGGACTCGTGTGTGTGTGTGTGTGTGTGTGTGTGTGTGTGTGTGTGTGTGTGTGTGTCTCTTGTGTATCTCTTTTGGGATGAACTGGGAGTCAGATGCAGGCAGGCAGGAGAGAAGGAACCAGGGTGCAGAGTGAGTATATAAGATGGTGTCTCCTTAGCCAGTGTCCAGAGGACAGGGAGACTTGCTGGACGAGAAAAAGGAGGGTGTCCACGTGGATGAACAAAGCATGTGTGCATAGGGCTGCGTCCACGTGGATGAACAAAGCATGTGTGCATAGGGCTGCGTCCACGTGCATGAACAAAGCATGTGTGCGTAGGGCTGCGTCCACGTGCATGAACAAAGCATGTGTGCGTAGGGCTGCGTCCAAGTGCATGAACAAAGCATGTGTGCGTAGGGCTGCGTCCACGTGCATGAACAAAGCATGTGTGCGTAGGGCTGCGTCCACGTGCATGAACAAAGCATGTGTGCGTAGGGCTGCGTCCACGTGCATGAACAAAGCATGTGTGCGTAGGGCTGCGTCCACGTGCATGAACAAAGCATGTGTGCGTAGGGCTGCGTCCACGTGCATGAACAAAGCATGTGTGCGTAGGGCTGCGTCCACGTGCATGAACAAAGCATGTGTACATAGGGCTGCAAGCAATACATATTTGCCAAGAAGGACGCGGCGGGGAGATGGGTAACGACACCCTGGTGGAGGCCCTAGTGCTGGGGAGCGACTGAGACTGGCTCACAGGTGGAGTTTCTCCAGGCCAGGTCCTGGCCACTCTTCTGAGACTCACACGTGGCTAGTAGCTACTTACTTACAATGCAGATACCTGGGTTGCACCTCAGTCAGATGTTCTGGAGGTGAAGCCACAGTTGTCACCAGTGCCCAAAGGATTCCTTTGCTTCCTGCAGTCAGAACCACTATGGGAAGAGAACTTCCTGTGAGAGTTTGCTTCATCTATTGTTTGTTTGTGTTTCATAAAGCAGCTCCCTCCTGGAAACCATTCAGGAGCCTCGCATTTGGGGGTTTCCTGGGGAACCAGTTTGTGGATTGGTCATAAAAGCAGGAAACCCTTCTGTGATGTCTTTTCCTGAGACCATCGCTATTCTTTAGAAAGAGTGGAGACCTTTGGGGCTCCAGGCCTGCTTCGTTTTATTGGAGAAACAGATGGGGTGGGTCTGCCTCTGGGAAGAAAATGGCTCTTCACAGTTTCCTTGTGTCCTTCCCAGGAGCAGCAGCCAAGCTGGACGGACGACCTGCCACTCTGCCACCTCTCTGGGGTCGGCTCAGCTTCCAATCGCAGCTATTCTGCTGATGGCAAAGGCACTGAGAGCCACCCTCCAGAGGACAACTGGCTTAAGTTCAGGTGTGCATGCTGGCGTTGCTATCCTGGGTGGAGCATGTTAGTTTGTAAGCAAGAAAAGGCACCACCTTGTCACTGTTGTGTGGGGCTTACCATACATGTGACCCATGGGAAGTGGCCTCTGCTGTGGCCCCTTCCACATCTAATTCAGCCAAGGGCCTGCAACAGGGTGGAGTGGGGGAAGGACACCCAGATGGGTACCCGAAGCCCTTCTTCCTGTCTGTAGTCTCCCCCCAGTCCCTTTCCCTCTTCCCCGCTTATCCTCCAGCACTGGTCTCAGGCTTCCTTATGCCCTCCCTCTGCCAGAAGCGAGAATAATTGCTTCCTGTATGGGGTCTTCAATGGCTATGATGGCAACCGGGTAACCAACTTTGTGGCTCAACGGCTGTCTGCAGAGCTCCTTCTGGGCCAGCTCAACACTGAGCACACTGAGGCAGACGTGCGGCGTGTGCTGTTGCAGGTAGGGGCTCCGGGTAGCTGCTGTGACCCAGATGACTCGTGTCCACCTCTACCCTCCAGAACTTGGGCCTATGAATATGACAAGACTTGGTCTAAAGACTGCCAGGTTCCTTGCCCCCTGCCAAGGATCAGGTCTGGGAGCTGCTCCTGGCACCAGGGGCTCCTCTGTCTCTAGGAGCCTATAGCCAAGCAGGACTGGCTCTGGAGGAGTTAGTGTTGGAGAAGAAGTAGTGGAGTCTGAATGGAGACCAGGTTCTTCAGAGTAGCCCTGTCCTCTGGATGTGGTCATTGCTCAGCGTCTAGCTGCTGAGAGCATCTGGGAAGGACCTCATCTCCCCACCTCCTATGCTGTGCCCTCACTGGTCAGCAGTCTGGCTATTTATTGTTGTGTTGGGATTTTTCTCCTGCATTTCCTTTTCCAAGCACATCTGGAGGCACTTTGTTTTCAATGAGAATGGTTTTGTGATCCTTGAGAAAGCAGCCCCAGCTTTTTCTTGTCCTCTTCAGCCTCAGTGTTCCTGTGCTAGAGACTCTCAGAAGAGCCCACATCCCAGGGATGGGGCCAGTGTCTCTGGCATGTAGAGGCCAGTAGGCCAGACTGAAACCTCCAGGAAGAGCCGCAGTGCTCCTGCAGGCTGCGGGTGATTACTTCACTGCAGATGAGGAGCCTGAAGGGGCAGAGCTGCTCTGACTCCAAGCCCGAACGAACTCTTGCTCCAGCTTCCTGGCTCTCTCCAGAGTGCCTCATGAGCAGCGCATGTACTGAAGATCTCTGTCAGACCGATCTGTAGGAATCTCAGGTGCTCTCTCTAGGGGCATTTTAGCATGATGTGACAAAGGCATTTGAGCCAGCCTTTGCCCTATCTTCTGTCCCTCCAGGCCTTCGATGTGGTGGAGAGGAGCTTCCTGGAGTCTATTGATGACGCTTTGGCAGAGAAGGCAAGCCTCCAGTCCCAGCTGCCGGAGGTAATCTCCTTGCCTGCCCTGGAAGAAGACATCAAAGCCTGGCTCTGCTGGGAGCCAGAGTCACTTGCCGTGTCACTTGCCACCCTGGACGCAGCAGTGCCAAGGGAACAGGAGTCATGGGAACCATTCCTGATAGGAAGGTGGGGTGGTGATGGATTCTTGAGTGGGCCTCTTGGCCCACTGTGGACAGCTTTTCTCTAAGGCTCAGCTTTGGGGTCAGCGATGGATGGGAGGACTGACCTTTCCAGGTCCAATGGCCTGATTCAAGCCATAGCATCATCACCTACCAGCACCTTCCATCGCTCCTAAGTTAGGGCTTTGGCTGCTTTTCTGGCCGTCCTGGTCATGCCACAGGCCTCTGTACCCTAGGCCCTTACGTCCTTGCTCCCGAGGGAGAGGGAGGATTGGTAGGATGGACCCTGAGGACCTGCCTGCCCTGACTCCACTGATGATGGTTGCAGGGCGTCCCCCAGCACCAGCTACCTCCGCAGTATCAGAAGATCCTGGAGAGACTCAAGGTGCTGGAGAGGGAGATTTCAGGAGGGGCCATGGCCGTCGTGGCTGTCCTTCTGAACAACAAGCTCTATGTCGCTAATGTTGGTGAGCCACCTGAAGTTCTGGACCGGGGAGGGAAGGTCAGCCTTGGGGTCGGAGTGCTCTCTGGCAGTCTGCTTTCCAGACACATAGACGCCTTAGACCCAGAACGTACTGTGGTTATTGGGCGTGTGTCCTCCCCATTCCACAGTTGTGTCAGTCCCAGCTGGAAGGAGAACGGACCAGACAGGGCCAGGCATCTTGGCTTTTGGCTTCACTCTGCCCTAACTGGCCTGTGGCCTTGGGTGCGTCCCATCCCCTCTCTTAAGTGGCCTTGTGGCTGCTTCTTTCAAAAGAGGTTACCTGGCTCAGGGCACCCACTTGGCATCCCATCAAACAGCAGTGAACTGCCAACTGGACATTTGGATTTGTTGACAAAGGAGAGGCCATCCTGGAACAACAAAAGACCATGTAGTATACAAGCTACTGAAGGGACTCTGCAGAAACCTCCTGATGGTGTCCATCCCTCTGCCTCCTTTCCTTACGATTTAGATAGAGAACGATTTGCAGAATAGAAAACAATAGATGAGTAATTAGTGGACCGCCATGTCCCATCCAACCCTGGTTACCAACTTGTGGCCAGTTGTGTTTCATTTATAGCCCTTTGTCCCCAAATTACTTTGAAGCAAACCACAGACATGGTATGATACCTGTAAAGATTTCAGTATGGATCTCTTGAGAAAAGATCTCTTAAAACTCTTAATCTTGTGATCGCACTGTAAACATGGACCCTGATTCTTTAATGTCATCAGTCTGAACCCCTTCAGGCCGTTCCTGCCATGTGTGTGATATGCCTGCATTCCCTGCTTTCCCTCACATGGGTCTCACTCCTCCCTCTGTGTTGTCTGCTCACCTGCTCACATTATGCTACAGGTACCAACCGGGCACTACTGTGCAAGTCTACGGTGGATGGGCTACAGGTGACGCAGCTGAATGTGGACCACACCACAGAGAATGAGGATGAGCTTTTTCGCCTTTCACAACTGGGTGAGCAGGGGGTGCAGGCCAAGGGTCAGTGAGGCTATCTTGGGCATCCCCTGCGTCCTCCTAGGTTAACCAGGGGGAGAAGAGGAAGCTTGCCTGAGGTGCCATAGTACGTGGGGGGAGGGGCCTGAGGGGGGTGTTCTGATGAAGATGGAGCCTGAGGACACTGGGGGACGCTGTAGGTATTCTGATGATATTTTTTCCTATTGGTGTGTCCTCACTCCTTCTTTGCATGGGTATGTCTCCATCCCCTTATTTTTGTTCCTCATGAACAAGGAATGGGACCATTGCATTCTTTTTCCTGTGGTAGGTTTGGACGCGGGAAAGATCAAGCAGGTGGGGATCATCTGTGGGCAGGAGAGCACCAGGCGCATCGGGGATTACAAAGTCAAATATGGCTACACTGACATTGACCTGCTTAGGTAGGTGGTCAAACCAGCAGCCCCATTATGCTTAAGACCAGAGGGCTGGGGTAGAAGCAGCTTTCAGGCTCCAGTGGTAGGGGTGCAGTTGAAGTAGTTCAGAGTCCAAGGAAACACTTTTCACCTCCTGGAGGGGCAAGTGTGAGGCAGAGCCTGGGTCACTGGGCCAGGAGTGGGGTTCTTTGGACCTAGGCTGACAAGGGGTTGAGGAGAGGAACTGGGCCAAAGCCAGGGCAGCAAGAGTGCCATGGGGCCTGGCAGAAGAAGCCAACATGGATAGGGACAGACAGATGTGGCTGGGGCCAATGTAGAGGTATAAGGAGAATTGACTGTCTCTCGCTAAGAGCCTTCCCTCCTTGGTGTCACCTAAGTGCTCATGGCAATAATAGTAATGGTGAGCCTTTGTTGTGCATAGCTCTTTACACATGGCCTTCTGTTCACTACTCAGACCCTCTAGGTGGGTACTGTCTTTACCTCTCAGGCATTTTCATAAGAGGAAACGGAAGCATGGAAACATCAGCTAACCTGCCTGGTTGTGGGGCTAGTGGTGGACTGAAGCAGGACCTGACCCCAGCAGCCTGCAATTGCAGTGTGTGTCCTAAACATCAGTGAGAGATACTGTCTGGGAACTACGTGTGTGCACTTACTTACGTGTGTGCTAGCCACAGCATCTGTGCCAGCCACAGCATCTGTGCCACAAGCAGGGCTGTGGGAATCTGGCCAAAGGTTTTGTCAGCAGAGGCCAGCCTCGTGGCTTGGTTAAACTCTTTGCCCTCCCCCAGGATTTAGGTGATGGAGTTTGGGACCTGTGTCCCTCATTTGTGGGGTTCTGTTTGCTTTGTTGGAAAAGGCCTATAATAAGTGCAATGAAAATAAATCTTCCTCCTACCCAAGCCAAGGCCTCCCACCCAGAGGCTGACAGCTTCTTGTGTTATGTCTGTGCACACATGTGTCTCAGTCTGCCCTGTGCAGAATATGTGTGTGTTTTGTGGGTTGTGAGGAGTGGGCAACCCTTTAAAGCATCCATAAGCGCTCTGTGCCCTCCCAGTGCTCCATCTCTCATGCTTTCTTTCTTAACCATTTTATTGTGGTCTGATTGACCCACAAGAGCTCTGCATACCTAATGTGTGCAGCTCAGTGAGGTCAGAGCTAAGTTCATGGGCCCCACTGTTTACATGAGAGATGCCCAGCCCTCCATGCCTGCACACCTGCACTTGAGCTGAGGTCATGCTTTGTAACAGCTGCTAGGATTGCAGCGCCAGGCTGTGTCAGCACTCACCCAAGTAGCCTCAACTGACCAATGCTTGGGATGTTTCCAGGCTTGACTCTTCTGAGATTTTGCCAGGATTGTCCTCATGAACATACATGTGTGCTGGAGTTTTCTGACGTTTAATGATTGAAGCCCACTAGCAAATGGTCCCTGGGCAGAGAAGAGTATTTGGGGCCTTAGTTGGTATAGACACCTGTTTTGGCAGAGCCCAAGTGACATAAAGACAGGTGGGCTTTTAAAATATAGCCTTCTGCTGGCAGAGAGGCTCAAGTGGTAGAGCACCTGCATAGCAAGCAGCAGTCCCTGAGTCCAACCCCCAGTACTGCCAAAAAAGAAAAAATATTCCTCCACCAAATAGTTAGACCATTACTTTGAGGCTGGAGGTGTGGCTCAAGTGGTAGAACACTTGCTCTAGGAACAAGGTCCTGAGTTCAAAGCCTAGTACCAATCAGAAAAAAAAATTTTTTAAAAGATAGCCTTCCCTCTTGCTCTTCTACCCCCACAAGCCACAGCCCAGGCTCTGTGGACAGGAGTTGCAGAACAAGGCCAGAATCCAGCATTTGACTGTTGCCATCCTGACATAGCCCTCCAGCTTTTCTGGCCCTTTGAGCTTTGTTTTAGTAGCTGCCCTCAGAAGACAGGTCTGCTCTGATTTTCTCTTTTCCTGTTTCTTTTCCACTTATTGAGTCATGTGTTTTATTTTACATTCTGGGTGTGGATTCTTCCCTCAGCAGAAGCGTCGTCTACCTGGGGACCTTTCCACGCAAAGCCCCCCTCCACTCTCTCCCATAGTGCTGCCAGGTCCAAACCGATCATCGCAGAACCGGAGATCCACGGTGCACAGCCTCTGGACGGGGTGACTGGCTTCCTGGTGCTGATGTCTGAGGGGCTATACAAGGCCCTGGAGGCAGCCCATGGGCCTGGCCAGGCCAACCAGGTGAGCTGGGCTAGGCAGAGGAGGCGGCTGCAGAGCATGGCAGGCCGGCCCATAAACATGCTTCCCTGGGAACCTGGAGCTCTTATTCTTAGATGTTTTCATCAGATGTCTTTTCGGGATTCATAGCTGGGAAAGATAAAGCCCAGAGCTCTAAAAACTCCTCCTGCCTAAAGCTATGCAGCAGTGTTGATGCCTGGACTCGCATGAGGCCTGAAGAAAGAGGGTAAGGTAGAGAGAATTTCCACCTGTATCACATTGCTCTGGGGTCCAGGGGAGAGCCCAGAAAGAGCTGTGGCCTGCTACAAAGAGCACTGCCAAGGGTCTGTCTCTGCCAGGGCCTCAGGGCTTCACTGCCCTCTGTAAGTGGCAGGTGTTCTTCATCTTTGTAGTGAGAATGGTAACACACCTTGCGGGAGACTGCTGAGGTCAAGTGTGGAAAACGCAGGTCTTCATGCATTGGGGAACCAGTTATTTCTCCTACCCCTTGGAGCACACATGCCGAAAGTGTGACTTCCAGGCTGGACTTGAACTCAAACACCCTTCCCTCTGTCTCCCAAATGCTGGAAGTACTGTGTGTACCACCGCACCTTTTTAACCAAAGCCTATGTGGAGAAGCCTTAAGTGCCTAGCTATTTCTGCCCATTTCATGGGGCTTAGTTAGGGTTGAGGGGCCTGCCTGAGGTGACACAGCAAGTTAGGGATGGAGCTGAACCCCCAGCATCAGTCCCTGCCCTCTTTTCTTCAAGAGGCTGAGGCTAGCCCTCAGATAAAGGACTTTGTCTTTGTGCTTTTGGTCTTTTAGTCAGTGTGATTTTCTTTTTATTCTTTCATTTTTTTGGTCTGTGCAGTTATCCAGTGGCATCCCTAGGTTCTAGAATAAAATGGACAGGGACTTCTCTGAAGGCAGGGACACTCTTCATTCTGTATCCCCAATTCCTGACAAAATGCCTGATGTAGGTTTGTTACAGGAAAGAACAGTAATGACTATTTATACACACTTGTTAGTAGTCTACGGAGTGCTGTCAGGTCCATTGAGTCACGTAATCTTCGTACTCACCCAGTGAGGTGGATGCTATCCGTTTACAGGTGTAGAAACCAACAACCAGAGAGATCCCCGGTCACAGACCTTTCCTATTGAGATAGCTCCAGAAGGATTATCCTGTAGCTTGAAAAGCTCAGATTGCAAGTGTGGCTGGCAGGGACTTCCTTCACCTGCTGGGCCAGTCACCCCTAAATCTGTGGAACAGGGCTCTGAGGTTATGGGCCTTCTCGCCAGGTTCTTGCTCCCTGCCCCTAGGAGATCGCCGCAATGATCGACACCGAATTCGCCAAGCAGACCTCTCTCGATGCGGTGGCCCAGGCTGTAGTGGACAGGGTGAAGCGCGTCCACAGTGACACTTTTGCCAGTGGGGGGGAGCGTGCCAGGTTTTGCCCACGGCATGAGGACATGACCCTGCTGGTGAGGAACTTCGGCTACCCGCTGGGAGAGATGAGCCAGTCCACAGCAGCCCCAGGTATGTGCACTGTGCAGTGCATTGGTGGTCTCACTGCTTGGGATGCAGATGAAGCGGTGGTCTGGCTTTGAGTGGCTCTGACCAGGAACTCTGCCCTTGGGATTCTCTGAGGTTTAGTTTTAGTCCTGTTGTCTGTAAAATGAGTGTGGTACCACCTGCCCTGGCCACCTCCCAAAGATCTGGTACACAAACACTTGTGCAGAGTCACAAGTCACATGCCAAAGACAGTGGCTGCCACCAGCCATGGCTGACGGCCAACTCCACCAGGCCAAGCACATGGCCTGAAGGGTGGCCATTACAACCCTAGACACAGGAGGAGGAAAGAGGCTCTGATGGAAGGGACCAGTTTTCGATGAGGCACAGGGCAGATTGTTGGGCCCCAGTGCCAGGCTCTGTCCCAGCCATGTTGGCCCAGGAAGATTCTTTACTTTCTTCCTTTTTAATTCTTGAATTGAGTTTCTCGGGAGCAGGGGGCATTGTTTTCTTTGCTGTTCCCGCCCAGTGCGGCTGATCCTTACACCTTCTGTCCCTGAGCACTCTGTTTTTTCTCTTTTTGAATAAGCAAACCTTGGAACTTGAGCCTTGCAAATGGGTTTGTTCTAAGACACCAGGGTTGTTGGAGTTTCTCTGGCTTGTTGTTATTGCAGTCATATTTTTATTGGGTCAGCCTCAATGCAGAGCTGGCGTCTCTGGATTTAGGTATCCTGGGTAGCTGGGAAGTAACCCTTTCATTGAGGCAACTAAGCAATTGATTCTGTTCCTGCTTTAAGGACCAGTGGACTTCTCTGCTGAGAGGGTCCCTCCTGGCCAGGAAATATCCTGGTCTCTGCCAAGGGACACTCCTCTTGAACTGCCCTAAGGGTCCAGGGCCCTGAGGGAGCTTGGGGATCCTCCCAGCCCTCAGATAGCCTCTGTTGGTTCAGAGCAGCCCTGCCTCTCCCCGTCCCATTTCCTCCCTTCCAGCCAATCCTCATACCCACTGCTTCTTCCCACAGCTTCAGGGGGTCGTGTGTACCCTGTGTCTGTACCCTACTCCAGTGCCCAGAGCACCAGCAAGACCAGTGTTACCCTGTCTCTCGTCATGCCTTCCCAGGGCCAGATGGTCAACGGTGCCCACAGTGCTTCCACTCTGGATGAAGCCACTCCCACCCTTACCAAGTAAGCCTCATGCTATGGGGCCAGTGTTGGCACGCAGACAGAAATGGCTATGGGCCACACTGTGGCTCAGGGCGCTGGGCCAGAGGCCCTAGGTTCATAGACCTCCCGTTCCCTCACCTCCACCCCTGAGGGAGGCAGGAAGGGGTAGCATAGTCGGTTCCATCAGGTTGCTGAAGCTGGACCTGGGTGGGTGGAGGGTAGGGCTGGATGGGTGAAGAGGGTTGAGAGGGCGGGCAGTGCCAGCTCACCATCTGCTGTCTCGTGGGCTAGCATCCTCACTTTTGTTCAGTGGACATGTTCTTTTGACCTAAGGTAGCCCTCTCCATGGCATCTGAGCCTGGGGGACACTGCCCACCTGCTGCTGCTGCTCTCCCACTGCATTGTCAACGTCTGGTTTCAGCTTTGAAAGGAGCTGTCTAGTTTGAGGGGAGAGGTGATGTGGGGTGGGGGCAGCCCCTCAGCACAGACCTGCCTAACAGTCTGGTATTCACTGCCCCTCACTTCTGTGGGATGCACTTGCCCCTCCAGGGGAATCTTGTTTCCACATTCCAACCCTGCAGGAATAATAGATGCCACACCCAGCCCATCTAGGATGGAGCAAGCAGGATGTGGCCAATTAGAAGAGCTGGAAGGAGGGCGTGTCCCTGTTTGCCTCTGCCTGCCTGGGGCTTTTCTTCTGCCGTGTGTCCCTGCTGTTCCTGCTATGGCCACCACTGTGGGGAAGGGTCTGCCAGGCCACGAGTGTCTCTAGCACAGTCCTTGGGCACAGTCATGGTGGCCCTTCCTTCTCCTCTACTGCTGCCCTAGGAAGCCACCAGCTGTATCCACAAAACGACAGGATCACGGTGATCCTAAGACAGGATATTCAGCATCCTTCTCTGCCTGACTTGCTGGGCCTCTCAGGCATCTTCCTTCCCCTAGCTCTGAGCTATAGTTGAATTCCACTTGGGCCAACCCCAAGCTGGCACGGGATTTGCTAGGAGCTGGCAGGGCAGTGGACTAACAGGGACCTTTCCCCACCTGGACAGTAGAACAGAGGAGTCCTTAAAGAGGAGTCTTTAAGAGGAGTCCTTGCCTGTGGTCACTGGGGATGGGACCAGGGCTTTTCCTTGCCAGTGGAATGTTCTGTGTCTTCCTTGCCTTGCTCCACAGTAGTACTAACCACAAATGGCTGTTGAGCACTTAACCTGAACATTCTGTTTAGCTTTTGTCAACTTAAATAGCCACATAGTCAGTGCTTAAGAAATACATGTGAGGTCCAAGCATGTCCTGTAATCCTAGTACTCAGGAGGCTGAGGCAGACTGGACTATACAGCAAGACCCTGTCTCAAAACAGAACATAGGGGGAGAAAAACATTACAATTGACATTTTAACTGTCCCTAAGAACATCTGGCCCAACTAGCTTTATGGTCATCTTTGCCAGAGAGGCCTGTGGCCCAAGGGCCTGCTGGAGTCAGGCCTACCTCAGCTGCCCTTGGCTGACTTCCTCCCCTTCTTCCACAGCCAGAGTCCAACCCTGACCCTGCAGTCTACCAACACACACACACAGAGCAGCAGCTCCAGCTCTGACGGGGGTCTCTTCCGCTCCCGGCCAGCCCACTCACTCCCACCAGGTGAAGATGGCCGTGTGGAGCCCTACGTGGACTTTGCTGAGTTCTACCACCTCTGGAGTGTGGACCATGGCGAGCAGAGCGTGATGACGGCGCCATAGCTTGGCAAGAAGTGCATCCTAAGCAGGACCTTGTGTGGGGACAGGGACCCAGCAATGGAACAGGGTAGAGTTAGCCTTTCCTAACCTTGCCTGTGTCATGGGGCCATTTGACACCCTATTCTTGGCCTGCACCAGGCTCTGCCCCACAATGCCTGGGGCTGTAGAGCTCTGTAGTGCAGATCACACCACTTGTCCATTCCTCACCACCACACCAGGGCTAGGAGCCAGGCCCCACAGGCAGCCTCAGCTAGGACCACAGTTGTTTCTTAGAAAAAGAGCCCAAGTGTGGATGCTGTGGCTGGCCTCCAGGCCACCAAGGGTTTCTTCCCCACTGTACAACAGTGAGAGGAGGCCGTCCTGTGGACCCCAAGTACCACAGATGCAACAGACACTACGCCCTCAGGGGCGCCCTCTCCCATCACAGTCTCCTAGAATAGCTATGACCACTGCTAATGCCTCACCTCTGGGCAGTGGCCCCAGGGTCTAAGGCTCTAGCCTCTCAGCCAACTCCTAGGTCCACAGTGGAACCGCTCATGATGCATCTTCTTGGCCCTAGCTGTCAGTGGTAATATTTGTGAGGGCTAGGGTTGTCCACAGGGGAGCAGGTCACATGGAAAGATAACTGGCCGCAGCAGCACTAGTCCTGGAGCTGCCAAAGCAGAGCAGGCTGGTGGCTGGGCTTCCTAGGGGCGCAGGAGGTGAGGCTGGCCCTCTGAGCTGTGTTGGTGGCGGGAAAGATAAGGCTAGGCCTACTGAGCAGCTGGAGTGGTTGATTTTGTCAGACCCAGTTTGGAGTTTGGGAATCTCAACGTCCAGGTGAGCCCATAATTCCTGCCCTGCCTCCTCCCTGCTGGTGCTGGGGAGACCATGATGGGAGGCTGAGATGGTGGCCTTTACACTGAGGATGAGTCTGGACTGCTTTGCATGACAGCCATGGGTGGTGCTTCAGGCTGGGGGCTCAGTTCAAAGAGTGGAAAATGCTTCCAAGAGGCAAGAGGTTCTCTGAGCCCCCACTGTCCAGAAAGGCAAGACTTGGGGATGTGTGCAATGTTTACAAACAGAGGAAAGGATCAGCTGGCCAAGACATCCTACACACGTTCTCTGCCACCAGAGAACGCCCCCGATGGCGCTTCTTATTCAGAGGAGGCAGCAGGCGGCTCTTCACCTGAGTTGCGCCATCAGTGATGAGCCTGAGGCCTTTTTGTTAGTGTGGCCCACAGGGCGCTGCCACCTCTCCCAGCCTCTGTGTCCCAGTGTTCCAGCCACAGCTTGCTGGGGACCAGCTGCTGGGGGACAGTACCCAGTGTGCTTGCTGTCTGCAAAGTCAAAGGCCAGTTCCAAAGTCCATGCTCTCGCTGCAGTCCAGGAATCCATTTTCCTGCAGCAGAGCCAGCAGTGTACTACCAGGGAGAGCCTGGGTTTCTGGGGAAGTGAAGTCTCAGCAGAAGAAGAAGGTCATCCTGGTGGCTAGCCCAGCCACCCTCCACTGGAAAGTCATCTCTCTGTGGATCGGCAGATTTTTGCTCACTCACAAAGACTTGGGGATAAAGAGGACTCTCCCAGGAATGTCTGGAGCTGTTTGGTCTGTAGAAAAAAAATTGTGTTCTTTATGCTATAAAGTAATACATAGCGGTGTGCTATGTCTTCATGCTAACAGTGCTGTCTTTTGTCTCCTGTAACAAGCGTGCCCTGGGAAGTGGCTGCCTTCTCCCGTTCTTCTGGGTAGGCTGGTAAGTGACTGGGCTAGGATTTGAACCCAGGCCTCCTGACTGCATTCACACTGCTGCCTGGCTACCCAAGGGGAGCACGGGCTGCAAAGAGTGGCAGTCTTCCCTACTGCATCAGGTCCTCCGGTCACACTTCTCCCTGTTCTATGAGTATGAGCCCAGAGTATGTGCCTCTATGGCGGGGCTCAGTTCACCAGGGCAGGGGTCCTTGCCCTCTCACCAGCTAGCTGGCTTTATTTGGCTTTGTTTCAGTGAAGGATATTCTATAAATATAGTCCATAGCGTGCCTCCTTCTGCTCCCTGGGACTTAACTCATCCCTCTAAGGAGCATCTGTGACAAACTGAAAGGCTGTGTTTGCTCAGGAACAAAGCCAAGCTCTGTTTGGTCAGAGGGTCCCAGATGTCCCTTCCCCTCTGCTAGGCAGGGGCTCTTAGAGGAGGGGTCCCCATGCAGAGCCTCCTGTCAGGATCTACCCCTTCAGATTCCCCAGGCATGCCTTCAGGTGTCCTAATGACTGCTGTGCCCCTTGAACACTCCTGATCGATGCTGGCCAGTGGCCCTTCCCAGCCTTTGACTCCCTCCCTCAGTCTTGTGAGGAAAATACTCAGCTCCCTAAGGTGGAGTCAGAGAGCCAGAAAAGCCAACTGTGCCCTCTTTTCTTGAAGCTATCCTGTCCCTGCTCAGAAATCTGTCCCAGGCTTGATTGAGGTACTAGCCTGGGTTAGACCAGATGGGGCCAGGCCTCAGAGCCACTGTGTGTCCCAGGCTGAGGCAGGTGGGCAGCAGTGAGGCCTCCACAGCAACCATGGCCATCATCTGGCCTGCTGTGTGTTTCCAGCCCTGGCCTGGCCTCTGCTTCTCACGAGTGGTCCTTGAATTGGGCTGCAGAACAGGGGCCCTGAGACGTGTTGACGGCGTCACACTGGCAGTGTTGGTCTACCCACAAGGAAGACTGTTCACTGACACTGTGGGAAAAGCACCAATCGTGCTCTTTGCAGGTTTCTCCGGTCACCTGGGTCTCAGCACAAGTGCTGCCTCCTGGAAGAGCCTGCCCAGCCATGTCCTGCTCAGCCTGTATAGAAGCTCACCGCAGGGCTCATTCCTTTATCTGGGTGGTCTCTTTCACTCTACTCACTCTAATAGCAGGGACTTTGTGTCCCTTATTCCCCTGGGATCAGCCCCCAGGTCAGTGCTGGGCCTGTATGGTCCCCCACACATTTATGGGAGTCCCTGAGTAAAGGAAGCAAGGGATAGCTGTGTGACCTTGACCAAGAACCTTTGTCTCTCATCTCCATGAGGAGGACACAACCACTTAATAAGATCATCCAACAGTCTTGGACAGTCCTGTCCCCGTAGGTGTGAGAAGTAAGATCCACTGCTTCCCTGCACATGTGGAGCCTGGGGCTGGGCCAGGTCACAAGAGTGTCAGCCAAAATCCTCCACACATGCACCCCACTCATGTTTAACAGGCTCAGCTGGGGCCCTAGTGTGCATCAGATGCCAGTGCCCCCTACGGCTTCATCCAGGGACCCAGATGCAGGGGGTGGGTGTCCTTCCTGCCTCTTCTCAGCCAAAGCCCAGACAGGGGCCTTTGGCCAGGCTTCCAGATGGTTCCTCTGACATGAGAATTTCACGATTCTCCCTTCCAGCCCCTGTTTTGAAACCAAACAAGAACAGATCCCTGCCGATCCCGGTGGACTCGGCATGTGCACGCTGTTTGTTCCCACTCAAACATGACGCCAGCTCAGAGCACAGACAGACACTTGACATTTCCACGAGCCACATTGGCCTCATCAAGGACAGACTGTCTGGCGGCCAGTTTTGGACACTATTGACACATCACTCACTCCATTCCTCCCCTCGAGCCCCCAGAGGGGACACAGCACCCAGGCTGTGTGGGCCCCTTGTCTGAGCCTGCCCTTCTTGCCCTTGTCCCAAGTCACAGAGGGATTGGTTCAGGGGCAGGCCTTAGAGCTTGGAGCTAGTTTCTGAATGCTGTGATGAAGCCTGTAGCTGTCACTTCATCAAAGCCATGCTATGGTTCACACAGTGCTGAGCTCAAGAACCTTCCTGGGCTCCACCCTCCTCCAGCACCTGCTGTGAGTCATTTGCCAGCTTGCCAGTTCCTCTCCCAGGCCTGGGCTCTGCTCTTCTCACCTCACCTCAGGAGCCAGCGCCAGCCCTGGGAAGTGTTCAGAAAATGTCAGTGAACATGATGGATGAGTGGACGAGTTATCCAGCGCAAAACTCCCAGAACTTGGCTACAGGAAATACCTGTCCTACAGAGTACACCTTCACACTGGTCCCTAGAGGTTGGGGGTTGGTAAGAAATTAGATGCCCCTCATTTATTTTGAAGAGGTGAATTCTGAAGTTAAGTCTGTACAATCCCTGTGCTCATTTTAGTATGAAAATAGCATTACTTTTTCCCAAAGTAATATTTTTAAATTATCAAATAAATGGACACACCAGGAAGAATGCCACATGAATTCTATAGGTTTGTAGACCCAGACACTCCAGGTGTCTGGTGACCCTAATCAAATACTTGCTATGTGCCAAGTGTACCCCACCCCGAGAGCTTGCAGGGTGAAGCCCAGGTCAAGGGGCCCGGCTAGCAGTCAGGAGATGGTTCAGCCTAGTGTCAGAAAGCATCAGCTCACGGCTGGCTGTGGAGGTGGGAAGCCTCCCTTCATCCCCATCACCCGGGGCGTGAGCAGCTGCATGCCAGCTGGCATCGGCAGGGGGATCCAGTATGGCTGCACAGCCAAGTCCTTCAGCAATGAAGTGGGGGGAGTTAAAAATATAGGTTCCCTGGCCCTGCTGTGAATCCACAAATCAGAACCCTGGAGGGAGGCCATACTGGGCTCAATGAACACTGCAGGATGGTGACTGGAGGCAGGCAGACAGGTGCCTACCTTCCTGCCCATCCTGCACCACGAAGCCTTTCCTAACTTGTGCTTCTGCAAGTTTGACCTCTGGATGCTCCTGGGTGAGAACCTCTTTGATCTCCATCTCATCCCCAAAAGGTTTACAGCCCAGATTTTTGTAAAAACAGAAACAAAATAAAACAAAAAACCTTAACGAGTTCTAACTGTGGTGCCAGGCAAGTAGCTGACATGTAATATTCATTTATTTACTTTTTGGCAGGGCTGGGGTTTGAACTCAGGACCTCATACTTGGTAGGCAGGCCCTCTACCACTTGAATCACTCCAACAGCCCTTTTTCGTGTTGGGTTTTTTCAAGACAGGGTCTCACCAACTATTTGCGGGTTGCCTTCGAACCAAGATCCTCCTGATCTGTGTTTCCTGAATAGCTAGGATTACAGGTGTTTGCTACCAGTGCTCAGCAAACACATAGCATTTAATTGTTAATGTCTCAGCAAGGAGACCCAACTACATCAGTGACCTGTTTTATGGTTTGAGTCGTAACAACACATGTCCCCAGAGGTTCACGTGTTAAAGGCCTGGACCCAAGGCTGGCAGCAGTGTTCAGAGGTGGGGCTTTTGGGAAGTGATTGGACAATGAGGACCAGATCTGCCGATGGATTAATCCATTGATGGGTTCATAACCTAATGAGACATTGGGAGTGGATGGAAGCTTGGGAGGAGGGGCCTGGCTGGAGGTAGATCACTGGGAGGGGTACTCTGGCCTAAGAGCACACAAGAAAAAGGATTTGAACCCTGAACTGTACATCTGGTGGAGTTCCTGCAAAGGCCTTTCCAGGCCTGAGATCAATGCCAATGCCAGCTGAACTTGCCGGAACACCCTGAGGGTCCCTCAGAGCTGAGGTGGCCTTGAGGTTTGGCCCCTAGGACTGAGTGTAGGGAAGGCACCAATCCCTTCCCCATACTGGGACCTACTTCTCAGTGGCAGACTCAGCAGGGGTCAGCCATGGTGTGCTCTGGGGGAGCTTGCAGACTGTAGAGCACCCCAGCCAAGACTTGGGGGGCCCCTGGAAGTTGCCTGGAGGAAGCATGTTGGAAGGAAACCTAAGAGACAGCTAGGTGAGGGAGAGGTGAGAAAGACACAAACCCTGGGAAGTGGGGGCCTTGCAGCTGTCAGGCACTGAGACTGTGTGACTGTCCTTTCTCCCAAGGCCTGGGGGAGCCAGTGCCAGTTTTGTGCAGTCCTGCCCAAGAGGTCCCAACCAATGCTCCCATGACTCTGGGGAAGGGATCTGAAGTCCACGGGCATTTCAGGTGTTTGGGGAGGGCGTTTCTGACCAAGCAGTGGGCCCCACCATGCCCTCTGCTTCTTGCTCTAGCCAGCCAGGCACCCACCCTTTGGGGCCAGACCAGACCATTCAGGGTCTTTGCTCATGTTTCCAAGCTGAGACCTCCCAGTCTTTGTGACCCAGCTCAGCCCCACTTCCCTCTCCAGGGACACCGCACCAGCTATAAGCCTGTTTCTGGTACTTGGTCACAGTAAACCTAGGGCTCTATTGACACCCGAATATGTTCATCTCTGATCCTAGTTGCCCAGTGCAGGGCTGCATTTGCGACACTGAGTGGAGCTGGACCCAGCCATTCTAAGGGAAGAGATACAGCAACCATCTGAAGCATCCCACAGCTCAAAACAGTGCCACACTGGGGATGGACATAGATGCATTGTGACTTCCATGAGCCTCCTCTGCCACGAGAAAATATTTAAATTTTTATTTCCTGACTAGCTTGATATAAAGACGAATATATTGGTATGTTAAAATAATTCTTTGAACTGTGAGTTCTTTTTTTTTTTTCTTTTTGTAGCACTCGGGTTTGAACTTGGCCTCACGCTTGCTAGGCAGGCGCTCTACCACTTGAGTCACTCTGCCAACCTATTTTTTTCCACTCATGAGGGCCTTTCTTATCTCCAGCCTTTGCCCAGGCTGCTTCTGCTCTCCAGCATGCCCTTCCCTTTGCTCTTTCTAGCACAATGCATGCTGAGCGCCGTGTACCCGCCTCCCTGTGGTTGGAGGGTGCAGAGAGAGAGTCAGAAATGACCCAGTTTGAACTCCTGACCTAGAGGAGCTTCATCTCCAGGGAAGGTACACCCACAGGTAGAAGTCCAGCTGGAGTGCACCCCTAGACTAGGCCAAGGAATGCCCTCCAGCTGACAGGCTATGGGGAGCTTCCCCAAGAGGTTGGCTTTGCCCCGGGGCTAGGAGCTTGTCTGAAGGATAGGAATTCCAGGGGCTGTCAGGTTAGTCTCGCTGAAGATGACAGATTAAACACATGCATTAAATTTCTCTCACTCCTAAGAGCCCATTAAAACTGCAGAAAGGAGCTGGGCACCAGTGGCTACTCCTGTAATCCCAGCTACTTGGAAGGCTGAGATCAGGAGGATCACAGTTTAAAGCCAGCCTGGGCAAACAGCTAAAGTCCATCTCCAAAATAACCAGAGCAACATGAACTGGAGGTGTGGCTCAAGCAGTAGAGCACCGACTTTGCAAGCACGAAACCATAAGTTCAAACCCCAGTCTCCACCAAAAAGAACCCACTCCGC